CCGCCAACCGGTTTGGCATTTACTGGAAGTCGGACGTCAGATATAGTCAGAAATCAGTTTGTTTATTACGGCTGTGAGGTCAAAAGTATCTGAACGGAAGGAAACTGGGGCAAAGTGCGCCCAGATCCTTCACCGAAAATCAGACGATTAATTACTATTTTTATTATACTGCGATATGACGGAATCAGGGAGGCAATAACTAAGTGCCGTAAAGGTCAACCGGTGGCGTAAAGTATAGTAAGTCTGTTTATATTCGGGAGAACACCAGAATGAATCCATCATCAACATTATACACGTTAGTTGAAGGTGGAATACACCTCCGCTTTTGTATCGAAATATAAAAGAAAAAACTAGCAGGAACACGCCGGCTAGGTTCCCAGTAACAAATGACACCGTTCCGGAGAGCTAACAACAAGCTAGCGTGCTACGAAAGGACAGTTATATTATGCCTAACGAATGGGAGCATGATTAGAGGGGATGCTAAGCAGGAGGGGGATGCACGAAGGAAATCACAACACAAACACCATTGTGGCCGGCTCCTATCCATACCAGCAAGTGTGTCCAACCAAACGTGTTCATCGTCCTTAGGACCCCAGTCAAGCAGTTGGGATGCATCAACCGACGACAACTTCGAAGTGAGAGTTTTCATTTCTCTCGACCAGTTACTCGCTTGACCTCCCCTCCTTCTCTTCCAACAGCAACCCTGGCGAGCAAACACCGCAATTCACGGGTATCGGTGGGCTAGCAAGCGCAACAGCTATCGCAGCCTGGTGCATGATAGAATGGTGTTGAGCGGTTCAATAGCTGTTTCTGCACCAAATACGCAACGCCAAGTAAACCCATTGCTCACCCGGTGATCCAGCCAGTCATGAGCTAAGCTGCGTTGACAGTGATGATCGAACGTGTTTAGCTTCTTTAAGACTGGCAACGTGATGGTTTTAGGTTTCCCAACCATGTAAGAGAGTTGAATGCACGGCTGCATTATAAACTCTGCTTGTTAGGGCGAGGATGATGTCGTGTCTGCGCCCCAAGTGGCGGTGATTGGCAAAAGTACCTTGAGAATTTGTTATACGCTTCGTAATCTCAGCTTTATTTCTATGGGCGCTAATATAGTTGCCTAGGTGCTTGAGTTCCTGAGCGGCACCAAGTTGTTTACCACCAAGGGTAAGCGCAGAGGTGGGTCCTTGCCAATATTGGAAGAACTTTGCATTTCGATGGAGCAAAGCATAGCCCAAACGATTAACAGCCAGTGCTAACGGGTCCAGTGCAGCCCGACAAGTTTGAACGTTATCACGGATGAGGCCAAATGAGGCACATCAAAGTCAAGAAGTCGCTCACCAGGAAGCATCTCCAACTCTTCTAGGTTATTGTTGCCATGACTTCGTCAAATTCAAAGTTAAAGAGGAAACGTGGTACCGGACAACCTTATCTCACACTGCTGGAGATATTGAAGGGCGGCGACATTTTGGTATAAACCACAACTCTGCCCGAAATGTGCGAGTACAGCGCTTTAATTATGTTTACAAATTTATCGTGCACGCCTTTTCTCAATAGACAATACCAAACGGCAAATCGATACCGCAAATTCAAGGCACCTTTGATAACGAGAAACAGGACAACGGATAGTCGCCAAAAAAATTAGCGGTGATCCAGCAGTTGATGCAAAGGGATGATGTGGTCGATGCAGCCTCGATTTCGACGAAACTCGGCTTACTCTTTGTGGATCTGTGATTCATGGGCATCACACATTATGTGGTAAAAGAGAGAGGCAAGCAATTTAAGGGCAATTGATATCCGACTGAAAAATCTGTGGTTGCAGCGTTTCAAACAGGAGCCTTCCTTGTAGATTGGGCCTATGACGGTGCAGCTCCAGTCTGTCGGCACAGTTTCCTCCTCCCAAAGTTGCAATAGCAACTGGTGCAAATCATCTAAAAGAGCAGGTCTGCCGGATTTTTGGAGAGCTATGTGAATTCTATTTGCTCCAACGGCGGTATGCAATTTCAAAAGTCTGAACTCTCGTTCGGCTTTTGAGTTTGAGGATGGATCTAAGAAGATGGACCATTGGAAAGGGCACTCTTTGCTCGAACGAGAAAACGATAACGCTAATTGTTTAAACTGCCTTGCAAATAGTTCTGCCCAACGCAATAAGCTCATTGACAAGATACTTGACAATATACTGATCGGCAGTAATCTCTCGTCGCCTACTGTCTCACTAACACCAGTATTGCTGCTGCTTATTTCCTGGTTCAGATGGAATAACGTGCGATGATTACAAACGGCAGCGGCTTTTTCCTTTTCCGTTGCACCATGTGACCCCAGCCTTGGCGGTCTTTCTTCAGGCTAGAATGTAGTTTGACCCTGGGCTTTTGCGAGTCTCATTGTATTCGCTTTCAGCCGGAATACATCAACGAGCAACGATAAGTTCCCGGGACTTTGTAGAGACCCAATTTCTAAGATGACATTTTGATTTGCTGCATGAAGACATGCCTGCTGATAGTAACGTTTGACGAATATGCGACTAGTGAATTTCGACGGTGTTCAGTGGACGCTTACTCAGTCCAAATGCTATCGCAGTTTCCTACGCATTCAGAATACCTGGCTTCGCCAACTGGCTGGTGTCAATGCGCTCAGCGCGGACGTCCGCCGAAATGCACCGGCAAATGAGCACAAATAAGAGCGTGATTTGAGTTCACGTTGGTGCTCCAAATCGAGCGACAGTTTTAGACACAGCCTCTCCAGCGGTAACTAATCGCTATGTGATCAATTAGCGTCCATGGCTGGCCCGAGGCTGGTGCGCTCCAAGTCACTGTATGGCGAGTGTCATGTCTAAAGTCAGTGCTCGCGAGAAAGAGATGAGCAACTTCACATAGGTATAACAACCGCTCACCGTTATCATTACAGCAGCCTACACCGCGTTGGCTGCCCAGATGAAGCTCATCAGAGGACAATTTTCCAAATGCGCGTTTAGATCACCAGCAAGCACCACAGTATTCGTGCTTCTTCTGTAACAAATGATAGCGTTAAGTTGGTGATACCAATCATCTTTCACCGAATCATGATGACAGTTTGTGGGGGGCGTAAGCCGCAATGACAAACAGGCAGTGTTCGTCCACGCGCGACTTCGAAGCCTGGAACCAGCCAGCCAACATGACGGCCCACATCCGGCTGTTGACAGTGATCCAGTCGATCAGGCCAGCTTTAGCCAGGGGACTCGAAACAATATCGACGCCAACTTGACCTGCTTTTGTGGCTGCTTCATCGCCTGACAGACGCAGTGTGAGTGAGCTACCATTGTCGCATGTGAGGGATCGCAGAGGAAGCACGGAACTCGAATCTTGTAGGCGTGATTCTGATAAACAGCAAATATCAATCGAGAGGATCTCTAGTGTTCGGGTAAGTGCTGCCTGTTGACTACTTTGGAACAAAGTGCGCACGTTGAGGCATGTCAGTCATTGCAATGATCTAGGACTCCAAAGGAAAATGTATGAACTGACCTAGTCCGCTTGTTAACTGGAATGGAACGACGCTCTGCGATTGTGCGTGAGCTGAAACCAAAAGACAAGAGACTATTGAAGCAAGCTGAGGAGGTTTGATAATTGGGGGATTGAAAACGGGGGGAAGAAAGTGAATTTGGAACGGGACGCTAAGGTGGCATAAGCATATGAATAAGAAGTCGGGAGGGTTTGGGCAATGTCATCCAAACCCCTAGCCACCCCGCTCGATGCAGCACTTCGGACGCCGTTTATTATCCTCTGTGACGGCCAGAGCATCAAGATGTGTAGGAAGAAAAGGTTATGATGTATTGCGTGGGCAGAATACTGTCAGGTTGCTTATGCCTAGACAGAAGAACGATTAGGATTCACAACCCAAGCCTTTGGTTCAAAACCTTTCCGCAAAGCAGCGGGGTTTTGGCAGTGGACTACAGAGATCCCGTTTTATGGAGTAAGTATCCACTCTCCCTCCAACTCCCAACATGAAGGGCCAGAAGACTGAGTTTGTCTGGCCTGTAGCTATTGACCAATCGGGTACGAGTGGCTCATAAGGTTCGAAAAGCGCCACCCAGCATATCACAATGGATCACAGGGGCATACAAACCAAGTGCCAGTCTCATCGCGATGGCCAAAGGGAATCCGATTAGGTATGTTTGACATCGCAGCGTATCTATCCACGCGTGAATCATGATGGACAAGCAACATGGAAGCTTCGGTATCGTGGTGATCTTCCACAGAATGTTTCTCCGCATAGTGAAGTTTCAACGTTCTAATCAGGATCCGTAATTAAATCGAAAATAACCTGTTGATTAAGCTACGATTGGAAGTGTGCAGGATTTTATAGTGGCAATATAGAGGAGGACATATTATAATAAATATATGGCTGGGTGCACTGCAACACACTAGATTCGTTCCCGTTTAAATCTTGTCGATTTTGATGCGCAGGGTCACGAGTAGGTTAAGCATATTTTGAGAAGGTAAGCTTTCTTACTTCGCTTCAGTTCTAAAAAATGAGTTGATGTTGTAGGGGGATGAAACTTCTGTGGATTAATTGCATTAAATGATCACAAGTAGAGACACTATGAAAAATTGACATCCCGAAATCTGTTGTACGTGGTTGCAATCGGAGCTGTAACAGCTTACCCTGGTCCAGACAGTTGGCACCACACTATTCATCAATACAGGTTATATCTGATATTGCGTTCAGCCTCATAAAATCAAATATATATCGGTACCCGTTAACATATATATATGTATATACATTTATGCATGCATATATATGGGTAAGTATCTAGGTATTTTCCATCCAGCTGTTGCGGATTTCCATCAGACGGATCCCCACGAACTTGCCAGTATGCGTAAATTTTAACTCCAGCACGGGTAACAGCTTGGTGGTAAAGCAGCCACACGTGTTTTGAAACAAATGGTGTCGATTCTCCAGGTGTTATAATCGTAGTCATTTGGCCTACTTGGAAACCTCAGGTATGATATGCGATTAATTACGCGCCCATGTCCTGCCTTTTTGACCAATTAACAAAATTTGCGGAGTTACTGATAGGTAACTCTCTGGTCTTTAGATGTAACTGCAGATCTCTAGTCTGTTTAAATGCATAATATCATTTAATTGCTGAAGGAATGTGTGGTCCAAGAGATAAACAAACTCATTTTCAAGCGTACAAGTGCAATGTGACTGTCCACTAGAGATAAGCTGCATTAAAGGAACGAACACGAAAGTGGAAGCAAAAAGCGCACGGAAGCCCTAACTGAGAGTTTATATTAATTATTTTGTTGCGTTATAAAAACACGATCTCTACATTTTCTTACCAGAGTGGTTATTGTACTCATGTTACATTCTAATGGAAAAACGATAGAACAGCCCAAACGAAGTTCTCCTGTAGTCACTTGGAAAACACATTTTGCTACGCCTTTTTGCACAAGTCTTAACACAATACCAACTGTGCTATCTCAGCTCAAAAAGGATCACTGGGTCAAAATTTTCTTTAGGGTGCACAAATTTGCTTGCTGCTGTCGTGCAAGGCAAACTGAGAAATAGACCCGGTGAATGTCGCAAGAGCACCATGAAGTCTTCGATCTGCAGTAGGGTGAAAAAAGTGCGGATAGTTCAGTGCGTGCCTGGCAATCACCGACTCAATTCTTGCGGCGCTCTTCAGCCTATTTAATGTGTTTGAACGTTACAAAGGAGCGGTCAGATTTCGCAAGCTGTCAGCAAATGAAACGATCAATATTTGGCTCCAAATTTCAACCACTAAAAATAAAAATTCGTTAAGGCTGGGTCTGCATTAAACGCAAATCGCCACGGCTAATGACGGCGGTCACGCTATTTCTGCGGATTTTCCATTGTCCTATCGACCAGACATTAGGATCTAGTAAGACACTACAACAGTTCTGTCTTGCCTCCTCCAGTTTCCATATTAACGGTTGTGTTAGCATTTTAAAGAACCGCTAAAAGTAAGCCACTTCGCTAACGCTTGCTTCCGATCTTTTGTCGGGTAATTATTTCTCAACTGAAATGTATGACTATAAACATCCGGTAAGCACTTCTATGGGCACCCAAAAACAGTTACTTTATCTAACATTTTTAGTGATATCCTCCCTGAATAACGACACCACAGAAAGGTGGGCAGAAGTAAAGACCTGGTGAAAGCGAGATGGATATTTCATAACTTATGCATTGGGTTCATTGCCTGATAACGCGCGCATCAAATTAACCGACTATTCTTAGTAGCAGCGGATATAGAGTACATACTAGCAGCGTTAACAGGCTATCGACCAAAATTCATAGGGAGAAAGAGAGTCAAAAAGCTGTATATTTACGGTGGCATTGCATTCACTAGTCGCCCTCAAACAAATGTCAACGGCGCTGTGGTTGAAACTCTAGGTCCGACGCCATTATTCTCCACAGTATGCAAGCATCCCGTTCCGTTAATCTGAAGACGAGAATTGGATGACAAAATTCGTATTTACATTTGTATTATATGCTAGTTCATCGATAGATACCTGTGTGACTAAGTCCACGTACCTAATTTTCCACTGCCAGATCTGGATCGCAAATTTCAGCTTGAACCGGTGTCTACAGAATTAGAAGTGGGCAATCGCTTGGTTCTTACATGCATACCTCCGAAGGGAAAGCCGGAACCTGAGGTATTTTCGCTTTTTATTGAGCGATAACAGTCTTAAAAGTATACGATCATGTGAAAGATTGACCTCAGAATGAATGCAACATTTGTCATCATGGCATCGCTTGTAATTACTATAAGTAACTTGGACCGAAAGAATGATTATTAATTTGCTACTCTGTAAAAGACGATGGCATCTTTTTGCCGTGCATCCCCAATGGGTTGATGGGTATGGTCCATTCGACTGGGGTGAAATCACATATCCGTGAATTCAACGAAATATAACGTAAAAGGATTTTAAAGCACTGAGTTCCCATTATCATTCTAAATAAGACAATGAGATGACTGGTATTGCGAGAGAGAACCATTTCGTGTTATCTGCTCACTCGCAAACTAACAACATAAAGATGAATCACGTGACAGAAAAATCTATGATTTGAAACTGGTCACAAAGGAAAATTACGGGACGCAAGAATAACAGATCAACGAGCTTGGTCTTAGGGTCATGAGCCCAAGGAAGCTTCAGGTAGACTGTTAATTGTTTTTGTACACAATGATAGGGCGATGCCGGTTAATTGCCACCGCCTCGGCAAGCCACAATAGTTTGGGGTTGTCATTTCGATAGATAACTGTAAATGTTGACCTAGGGTCTTCCTGATGGCCTGAATCGAGTAGATGTCTGGCGATCGATGATGCCGGCAGCTTAGATACCTTTTCTCGTTCGGCTGCTGGTTGTGTCGATATTTTAGCAATCCGTTTTGGGATATGCTCTCCAATGCGCTTACCCAAGGATCGATCTATTCTGCCAATGTAACTACTACCGCAGTTACAAACGAATTGGTAAATACAATGGGTTGTGGCAGAGATCGGTTGAGCAGGCTTCACTGTAGGCATAGGCAACTTCCTGGTCTCCCAAATGGGGCAGAATTTGACGGCGTTGAATGCCCGACGAATCGCTGTATGCAAACGACTTTCAAGTTGTGCGTCCACGATATCACCTTTGAAAGGTAATTGAAGGTAGACAGAGAGTTTGGGCACAGTAAGTACCCTCGGCCTGTTTTCCTTCAGTTGACTGTGGAATCGAATAAACGCCTCTGGATATCCGTTGGCCCGTAGCGTCTGTGTGATAAACAGCAATTCCGATTCCAACCAGTCGTCAGTGCATATTCTGCGGGCTCGATTAAACAGCGTCTTGACTAAACACCGCTTGTATTTTATAGGGGCGAAACTGTTGATGAGGTTTGCATACGATCCTGTCCATGTAGCTTTCCTGTGAACAGAACGCTTTATGGAGCTGTCTTCTCGTCTGGTCAACAACGCATCCAAAAACGGAAGGCACTTGTTATCCTCCATTTCACAGGTAAAACGGGCGTTTGGATGTGGGTTATCGAGCACATTGAGAAAAAATAGAACAGAGTCTCCACTTGGGGCGATCACTAGTGTGTCATCTACGTATCGCCTGTATAAAGACATTTGACTGATGCGCGGCTCACATCCCATTTCAACCGAATTGCAACTATGAAAATCTGCTTCCACCAAAAGGCATAATTATTTGCGTGGATATGAACAGATATTTGGCTGCCATCATTCATAATGTGACGGATCATGCTTATTAAGCATACATCCTAAATTAAAGCTTCAGCACAAGGGCGTATGTGATTTCACCATTTGCTTCTTAACAAATACTCTAATTTTTCTTCATGCTTGCAAGGCACTTTTCGTAGAGTAAATTGACTAGCGTTTTCATTCTGGTCGCAACTGTTTTTCAGGTATACTGGATGAAAGACGGCAAACGTGTCACAAAAGATGCATTTCCGCATATCATCATCAATGACTACAACCACCTACTTATTGAAAACGTAACAGTTTCGGACAGTGGTAACTACAGCTGCGTCGCCGAATGTATCGGAATTGAGTATCGGTATGCGACAGCAAAGGTGAATATCCACGGTAAGTTACTTAGCTGCGTTTTACCTACCTAATCATCTATATTGTCTTACATAAATATTAGGTTGCATAAAATGTAAAACCAGTCCCTTGCATGCTACTGTATGTTGTAATAATCCCTTTCCTATATGATCCTCCCTAAGTTGGATTACCGATCCACCAATAATCGCACATATTACGAAAACAAATGACTTTTACCCTTGCTGGATGTTCTAATTCATTTCATTGATCGTCGACCTGTCAGGAAAATCTACATAGGTAGAAATTCGTCACATCTAGACTCACTCAGACAGCCGTCACACTCCCGGAAAAGCGCTGTACTTGCGTTTCATCATTTCGGGAATCGTCAGCAGTGCTCATTCCATCGGACCCGCATCGAACCCGCAACTCGACTGTTGCCAGTCCGTGGTTGCGACCACTGAGCTACGGGGGACGGTAACGACCATCGTAAATAAATCACTAGATATGATATAGCGCCGCTCATTATCCACTGACTTACACGTTACTGCCGTGCAGAGGACAGGGTAGCCCCGCACCAACCGACGTGCTTACCAAACGTAAACTGTCTGCGTGAATCTAGAAGTGACGAATTTCTACCTATGTAGATTTTCCATCTAACTTCCCCTACTACTCCTCTGTAAGCATTACACAGACCAACTTGCTTATAATGCCATAAATTAATTTGCAGGTTAAATTTGGCAAGCTCGTCGTTTGGTGAGGCGGTTACTCTGTTCTCTGCACGGCAGCAACTTGTAAGTCAGTGGATAGTGCGCGGCGCTATATCCCATCTAGTAACTCGTTTACCATGGTCGTTGCCGTCCCGCGTAGCTCAGTGGTCGCAACCACGAACTGGCAACCGTCGAGTTGCGGGTTCGAGCCCTACCAGGGTCCGATGGAATGCGCACTGCTGACGATTCCCGAAATGATGAAACGCGCGTACAGTGCTTTTCCGGGCGTGTGACGGCTGTCTGATTCAACTCCCCTAATACTTCACTGTAAAGTCTACATAGCAAAAAGCACCTGCGCAAATGCGTCTTGTTTCACTAGCTCATATCAGCGTGTGATGAACACCACGCAGAAGCTCGCCACTGCACTCCCAAAGGCCGAAGCCCTCTGGGACTGGGCGTAGCTGCAGGGACGGGGTGCAGTGATCTGGAGACAAAACATTTAGATAGATAGATGAACGTGAGGTTTGCATTTTAATCAATTTGCACAACGGAAGAGTTTATAATGGTTGTTATTGTAGGCCTCGTTCTATCTTGCATCCTGAGTACTGATTTACTTTCTTGCGCATTACAAAATCATTTTGAAAATGTTTATGAAGATATCATCAAATCGTAAGTCGAAATGTTTGCATAAACAAGCCAGTTCACACGATGTATAGCGATACAAATTGAATCTACTGTAAGTAAGGGCAGCTGGGATTTGATCTTTGTATTATTTATTGCTACAACAATTCATGCACATGTAATTGATAGCTCTTGCATTAAATGTCTTCACATATCCTCATTTATTCCTGTTTAAAATAACTTCCAAAATATCTATTATTGAATGGTAGTTTACACGCAAATTGTATTCATCTTTACATTTACCGAAATATGAAACTCTATTTTATCTGGATATTTGTTTGGAAACACCAGGTTAAGGTGACCAATATAGACATCGTGTCTTGAATTCAAATGCATTATGCAGTTAATGTGCACTAAATCTGGAAACGTAACGCTGCTTGTCTGCTAGAGAACGTTCCCTCTTTCTGCTACCTGTATCCATCGGTCTGTTCCGCCGCCGAGGAAACCACACGGACAGAAACATCGGCAGAGTTTTGTTGGAAGCAGACTACAAAACCATGTTACGTTAGCTACTGTTCTACATGTATTGATGGTTATTCACGCTTGACTAGATTTATCTAATGAAAAATGACAGCACCGATCGCGATATTTATTTTGCACACAGCATCACTGTTGCACGGAGTGCATGCTTTCCACTCAGGTTGTTCAAACTTAAGCACATGGTTGCACGGACCTTGACTGATCCTTTTTAGCTTTCGCAGCATGGCTGCAAGAGTTTCTATTATGCACTCTACATCGGTAGAAACTGAGAAATGTTCACAAGTGGGATGTCCAGACAGATGCTACCGTTAATTTTTTAGCCAGGGTTGTTTCAATTTGGCAAAGACAAAAAACAGCCGATATAAATTAAGAAAGGCAAAACAGTTCTTTCTGTGGAATGTAGCTTCCGTTTCTGGCGCTTTAAGCAAAAATGAGCAGCGTATTTTAACACCAGGCAGCAAACATGCTGATTGCTTTCTTTTTCTTTGCATTCGTTATTAAGTTAATGCTCAGTACTTGACGGCTGCTTGTGTGCAGTTATTTTCGGTGTCAGATTCAAAGTAGAGTTACATAATCCTCCAGTGATGTTATCTTTATTTCAGTGAGACTGCAAATTAAAGCCGCTCCGATTTAGAGAGCCCTGAATTACTGGTTGTTTGGTTAGCTTAGTTAGATTTCACAGTTTTCAAATTTTCGTAGAAGCACAGCCACAAACCATCACTCCTTGCGAAAAGCTATTGTGACAACTCCCTAGTGCCACTCGTAGGTGCATAATGGCCTCAGTAAAATTTGATGTATGGACGTTAGGTCAATAGCGATTGCCTACTTATCAGACTGTCTGCGAGAAAGAACTGTTTTTATTTTGATTCATAGTTAAGTGCGCATAATCTCTTCCATTTTGAAATGTTGATGAAAATTGTTGCAAGCACATAAGTGGCAATGCTTAAGTTTCTTACATTTTATTGTCTTTTCAACTTGACAGTGCAATAACTGAGAAATATAGAACCTGGCTGGGTTGGAAATATACATGACCATGTAAAATTGCGGCATTAAATATTCCTTGCTGTTTCCAATAAACATCGTTTTCCAAATTTTTGTATATTACCTTTATGTTCTGTTATTTCATGGAGTAATATTTAAACACATACTCTGAACTAAGCTTTCGACTAACATAAAATGCAGGCCTAGAAATGTGAGACGCACATTATTATCCGAATAATGAATTGGTTCACGTTTAATAGTGAGTTCATTGTAGTTTGCTTAGGTTCTTTTTGTTCCATTACACACTAACCTGCTTGATGGTTAGAGAGAACACCGGATCACTCATGATTAAGTGATTTAGTAACATGATGTTTTTATTTATTATGCTCCTAATGACTGCATTACTTAAAATAGTTTAAAAACGATAATATTAAAGTCGTGTTTGGTGAATGCAGCATCTAGTGCGCTCATTATGTTCTTACATTAATATTAGGAGTCTTTCTCACTAAACACATTATTCTTCCGATTCCGTTGTAAATAGTATTTCTTTAATCGCAAAATGGAGCGATAATTCCATCAGTATAAAATAGACAAAATTCCAGGGGCCGTGATTAATTGGCTCCAGTTAAACTCTTGTGAAAAGGAGTGCATACGCAATATCCTTTTAAGATGGGCTGTTACTCGTTTACTACAAATAAATTGCCACTTTATTTTATAGGGATTATAGCATGGCAGAATCAAAATATACACGCTCCATAATATGTAATCACCAAGAGGAAACACCACATCATATGACTGCAGTACAAAGGGTCGGCCTGATGATATACATCTATTTACTTATGCGCAGCAACTTTAGAAGTATTTCTAAATGTTGTACTTATGAATACGAGATAGTGTTGCCAGTTTATGTCTTAAAATAAAGAAAGGCGATAACGTTTCACTGAACTAGTTTGAAACTAAAATATAGGCTGTATACTTTACTGACTTCCTGGGGTGTACGGCAGGCTTATTATTCCATACATATTAGAGATGTCATTCTGGAAAAGCATGTATAATATCACTGTAGGGCGGGCAACTGATGCCATAGCTTAGCTTAAAATAAACAAAATCAGCAGTGTCATGTAAAACCACGCTATTGAGTTAGTTAAAAGTTATTGTGTTGGCCAATACTAATTTTAGGTCTGAAATTTAAAGTTTCCGCAGTTTATTTAGCGGAGTTTGTCATGCTTAATATAAAGTTAGTTTTAATCGTCCGTCTCATGTATCTCTTTCCTATTCCAAGCGAATTCATCTACCATGTTAATAATGATGATGCATAAACCTGGCTAACCCAATGCGGCACTCGTAAAATTTTTTGTAACATTACATTATCCCTCCATAAGCTTTACCTGGATTCGTTGCTGTAACTACTGCCACCGATACTCATTTTGGCGGCCACAACCGTTTGAAAGTAGGCCGGGTGTACTGCAAGGCGGATTCAAACTGAGGATCTACAGATTACCAGCAGATGCCATGACCAGCGGCCGATGTAGACACACACACATGTAGCTAACAATCAGCATTTGAGCGGGAATAAACTTCATGTGCTTCTGTCTGTTCAAAAGAATTTTCGGTTTTATCACGTGAAACGTTGGAAGAGTCACCAGTTCAATACATAATCCTGCTAACCACTTGTATTCAGCAGTACTGTTACAAGAATACTCGATTCCCAGACCTATTGCTTACGCCTTTCATGCCAACAGTTAATGCATTATGGAGTGCAACAGGTATGAAATCTGTATGCACTAAATGGGCAAAAGTTGCTCAAGCTGATAAGTAGAGTAAGATTCATAAATACACTGCTTAATAATCTATGGTGAAATATGGACCACATCTACTCTATTCCCCTCACAAAACACACGTTCTCTCATGCATTGACTGTTACCTCAATTGCTGAAAACCTAAGCGTGATATCTTGATCAGTTAACATATTACCCCTAGCAGACCTAACTTTCTGAGATATGACATAAGCAGTCCTGTGAAACTAGTGATTTAAACAAAAACTGGATTTTGATCTATGGAATCAATTGTTCAGCAAAGTTCCAAATACCTGACTCGCACATTTAGGTTTTAGAAGATAACTCACTGGAATGTGCTTCCTAAAAATCGCCAAATGCAAATATCAGTTGAGATATGTGTATTTTTTAGTGTTTTCATCGAAAATTACGTAAATGTTAAGCAATCTGTTGAACCATTATATAAATCATATTAAATAACTTTCTTCGAAGAACATGTAGGAAAATTGCTGCCATATTTGCAAGACGTGTGCTTCTGGTATATCTCTGGACAAATGTGGTCTTATTTCCAGGATATCACTAAAAGACAATTTCTTATTTACAATCATGTATACTTGTGACGGCCACTTAAAGTGTGCGTGGTAGTCGTCAATTTTCTTAAATATAGGATGTTCACTTCGATCGTATTCAGTATCTTCCGTCTACTGAAGAAATAATTACGTTAGCTTGTTGCAATTGGTCTATTAAAACACCTAGTTAAATATAGTTTTTTTCCTAGCCATTGTAGTGTACACCATTCAAACAATTATATACATAATATATACCTACATAATTATTTAGTTACAAGTATTTATAAATGGTTAGCAGTGTATGTTTCTGGACATTTCTACTTTTATATATTCCAACTTCATCATTTTCAGATCCTATTGCCAAGAAAATACACAATCCTCGCCTTGAAAGCCAGACACTTCATGATACTACTGAACTACAAAAGTTAATCCGTACACATGAAGTCGCCATTTACGTATGCCTTCTCCTATTTCTGGCATTCGTACTCGTCGTAGTGGCTTTGGTTGCTAATCGAAAGCGCAAACTGCAACGGATGACCAATTCTGGATACTGTTTCACGAGTTGTTTGGGCGGTGAGTTGTATGTAACATGGGACTTTTTACCCGCTTCTAGTTGTGATGTAAAGGACACCCTATGCAAAAGCTAGTTGTATTTCTGGTTAGATACCTAACCTGTTGTGACTCTATTATTGAAGGTCTATGCCAATGTTATGACAGATATATAACGTTAACCATTAGGGGAAAGGCAGCATTGACTGTAGTCATTATACTGTACCTGTTTAAATAACATTAAAGTAGTTAGTTGTCGATATTTGTATGAGTGTTTACAAACTAGGACCATAAATGCTAAATATAGTGTTTCTTATAAGTAATCAAGTCAAAGGATTGTATTTGTGGATTTTTTATATTTTAGGACATGATTCTATTCCATTGGAGAAAAATGCTTTGGTCTCCAAGGGTGAGTTTTGAGGATACAACTCCAGTCTATTATAAAACGCGTACCAATTACTCTAAAGCTAAAACCTCGGAATAACTAATTCATTGCACCGATAATGCTGTGCTTGTTAACCTGGACGATTACATGGTATCAACATTGTGGTACAGATATAAAAGCAATGCTTAAATTCTCCCCCGGGATGGAACTTATTGGGAAGAAAAATTTGTGATAGTGTTACAGGCGTTATGGTGAATCACCATGAACATTTGTTTAACGGCCGACCTGTTCGTGTATAAAAAGTTTAATCCATGAAATCCATTGCTTGGCAATTTGGTAATACAATGGTTACTTGTGTTTTGTAGCCCCTGGCTCACAAGTTATAAATTAAAGTGTAAATGAGTCAAATCTTTAACTACCGCTAGTTTGGGGACAAAGATTAAAATTAGAGTGAGCATTCAAAGGCTGATACACACGGAGAGAGCGGAAGTTTCTACGGCATTCTATCTGGCTATACTGTCTTTTCCGTTTTCTCACGGCATTCCAGCTGGCTTTACTGCATTTTCCGTTACAGTGGAGGATCTCTTAAGTTTGTATTGTGGCTCAGACTCAGCAGAGGGTGGCAAATGTGGTTTGGGTTCTTCAGACTCCTGTACATCATTATGAGATCCACACAAACGCCAAATTTGACTGTTGTAAATTATTAGATACGTCAGTCCAAGCCGATAGGGCAGATGAAAGAGGTCACTGACATTCTTGTTCGCCCTTCGTTAAGGAGTTTCGAGAACAACGAGATCCTGTTTCTGCCACGGCTACCACGCCATCATAGCTTATTCCACTGCGACCGCACCTCAGCGCTTAGGGATAAACAGTTTCGTAGCAGATGCTGGTGGGAGGCAACCCAGGGTATAGGTTGATCTTATTCAGATTGTTAGTATTTACCTCTGCTACAAAGTATTCCGCTCACACAAAATATTTAAATGAGAGTCCTCCACTAAAGAACTCTGAATAGCGCGACTTTTGTACCTATGTCCTGGGTCACAACATACTCGCGCTAAAATGTTTCCATTATTTTCGTCTGGTTTATTTACTTGCCACGGATTCCAGTTCGATCTTCTCCACACTAAAAGATTGCTAAATATAAATGTACATTTGTTTCCCGAGTGCCATACAGCGCTGGAGTCTGCAGACATTTGTGTTATGTAGTTATTGTACAACTCCTAACTATTTCACCTTTGATGACTTATGCCGGTTATATCTCCCGCAGTATCCAACAGCCAGGATAAAATACGAAACATATCTCAGAGATAAGTTGTTCATCGATATTACAAATTCATCTTAATGAATAACGATTGATCCCGTTAAGAGTACCTTTTCCAAAGAGTAGTTAATCGAACAGTTGAGAAAACTATGTTAGTAATTATGGTAAACTCTAGCTGTATAGCTTTGTATGCAATGGGTCCGTAAGAGCTAATATATAAAGATGTAATTTCTATGCCATAGTCCGGAATTTTTGTGGATGTATTTGATTTGGCTGCACAAGTGTTAAGCGTATAATGTGCAGCATATACAGATACATGTTGCTAGTATTTCTCCTATTCTCTACTATTTTTGTCGAGTATTCTGTTCTTAGTTTGCGTTACTTTACTCATTAATCTCAAGTGCAAGGAGGAAGGCCTCCAATTGCAGCTGCTGACACATGAATCATTTACCATCCACGAATAGTTTACATTGTTTACGCGCTTTACAATCGGCTTATCTTAACCCGATGGATGGTATTCCGACGGTGTGCGCACCGATATTTGCTTTGTCTCATTATTCTGTATGTTTGGGAACCATTGTGCTTCTTACCTCTAACGATCCTAAAGTGTAGACCGTAAATTTGCCATTTAACGAGGGTGTAAAACAATGCAATCGCCTCACCTTTCAACTATTTAACTAGTTATCAGTTCCTGTGGGTGTTCCAGAGTATGTTAGAGGAATAGGCTGGCAGTTGCGCGCAAGGATAAATTTGAATACTCAGAGACAATCAGCTTCAGGATACCAGGGCGTGAATGTGTAGCTGAAGGTTGCTTTTCTCACAGTTATGGATAACTGTAATGCCCCAACAAGCTTGAGGTGTGTTCTTGCGCTCTCTTTTTCCTGGTAAACAGATCCACTACTGATGAATGATTTCAAGCAATCTACGACCACCATAAAAATTCCGAGCGGATTCGAAGCAAACCATACATTTTATGAAGGATTATCAACTTCTCACCTCACGCAAAATGGTGAAAATCTACCTGGTCACTATAACCCAGTGAAGGAAAACCAACAATCACAGCCGTGTCCCGTAATTCAAGCTTTTCCTCTAGTTCCAGCTGCAACATACTTTGGGCCCTCTGGTACAACAGAATTTCCTATGAATTCCTACTCTCCTGCACCTATCAGTCTGGCTCGTATCGGCGCTATGAATCCTCCTACAGATACAATGAGTTCTTCGCTACCATACTTTGTATCTAACATCCATACGACAGGAACCGTGTCACAAAATGAGATAGGTACTTGTGTACAACAAAACGTCAACTCAACCGAGGGTGACATTCTGATATCAAGAGCAACCTACCCAACTCTAATGTAAGTTGAGCTGCCAACAAAGAAATACAGGAGGTGACGCTGGCTGGATTCTCCATTGTTGTTTAATTATATCACTATTTTAAGTATTTAAACAAATCTGATTTAAAACCAATTTGTACAAGGTACAGGCTGCTGTTTTAACAAAATATTTGAAGTTAATCTAGCTACATTTGTTTGCAATGTAGGATATGACAGGCGGCTCTGCTGGTGGCAAATGTTAGCAACTTTGTCTAGATTTAACTTACTCGAGCCTATAAAATTAATGACGCAATGAACATTTATAGCCGTCCATGCGATGAAACGCTTGGCCAGTATATGCGTCGCTCGTATAAAAATATAATGTAAGACAAATCAACCGGTGTTTTTCGGAAACTGGATTGCTACAAACTTTCTCCATTTTCAGTAGTAATTGACATTACTGTCTATGTGTCTTACCCGCATGTTATATATTTCAGGCGTTGTCTAATAATTATTTGCCCATAAGAAAGAAAGAAGCATCAGTGACACGTTCCATTGTCATGACTTTCGAATGGAGTTGACTAGATCAGCTCACATCCAACGGAGACATTTCTCTTCCTTAGCACAATTTTGTGTTTCTGTAGTTCTATGCAATTTTCAAATGTCACTTAAATGATCCTGCAGCAGCAGAGTACATGAATACCCTCATATGTTCCAGGTTTCCGGATTTATCTGAAGGTCAGTCTTCTGCGAATACCACTACCAACACCACAGCTGTCGGGTCAGGAAACGCGGGAAGCAGTAATTGCTCTCCTGTTGTGCACTCCAATACCAATGCAAATCCGAGAAATCCCTATACTTCTAAAGAGGAAGTGGAGACGGACTTTGATTCAGGAACAAATGAGTCGCGTTCCGTAGAGTCATCATCCGCTTATCAGTACAGCTCTCCAAATTTAGCCCTCAGAGCGGAGTTACAAGAACTGTGTTACGTTACAACAAAAACCTTATCTGAACAAGGAGGATTATTGCAAATACCGAATACAGGTATGCACTGGATTTTGATACTTTGTAGTCTGATTGAGTACAATGAAGTTACTGAAAAGATTAACGTCAGTTACGCGCAAAAATCGGTGTTGGTTGTTTTTGCGTGCTTTTATTTAACTTCCATAGGGTAAACAGATAGTCGCTAAATCTGTATGTCGCTCTGATACATTTTATATGACACCAGTCGTCCACGCCACTGTCAATCGTGAAACGGGTTGTCCAGATTTGTACACAATGCAGACTCTCACCACAGACGCGGTAGATTTTATACGCTTTGTAGCGCATGTTACCACATGTCCACCGCGAATATTATCAATCGTCACTGCGGGCCTGAACACCGTTAGCTGACATACGTGTACTAATCATACCGGTAGCACAAAAGACTGACATCACCTAACTTTATGATTGTGCTGGGACAACCTAGAGGTATGCATATATTCGATGAACCGAGTTGGTGCATAATTCATTTCTGGGTATATGGGGAAGCAGCTAGCGACGTTGGGGAGAACACGTTGCAAAAACATAATACCTGGGCCTGACTTTTCATAAGCAATACGATTCGTACACAGTTGAAACAAGTTGCATTTCCTCTTTTGAGCATTCCGGTATTTGACCATTGAGAAATAGAGCCTTACGAAGCTAGCGTGCGGGTTGAATGGGGAATCAATCGTGCCGGAATCCTATGGCACATTTCATACGCTACCAGGTCTCACTATTACGTAACTGTTTTATGTGTTGAGAAAATTTATTTAGTACCCTAGTAGAAAATTTCTTGCCTAACAAAGGTATCTTGACACTTATCCTTATTGAACCTAATTGTTTTGTAATTGTTGGACTTTCCTTGTGAGATAATAGTTGACAGAAAAACTTTGCCTCACATTAAGACAATAGAATTACCGGTAGAATAAAGCAGCTGGTATCCCAAGTTCTAGCTATCTACGATATGCATTCAAAAGAAAATACTGAACAACTGCATTTGTACGGATTACGTCAACCTGCGTAGGATTGATTTTTGTACCTGACCAAGTCTTGATTCACTATAGCGTTATGCTATCTATGCGCTGTAAAATAACTAATCCTGTTTCACACGTAACAACTTAACTCTCATGCCGCCTATTTTTTATCCACTCGCTGTGATCCAGTTGAGTGTATGTGCTTTTTCATTGCGGATAACCTCGGTCCTGCCACTGTGTTAATGGTAACACGTTGGCCGATGCATACATTGGTGTATGGCTGAAGTTGGCCAATGGTTTTTACAGTGCGGATGTGCGCTCTTACATTTGTAAAGTAAATAAACGTCATACACCGGGCATGGCTGCCCTGGAATTAAACGCTTACAAAATATCTACCAGTCTCACGCTACCAACTCGGTTACCTGCCCCGGAGTGGCATTAACGGAGCACATATGTTTCAGCTTGTTTAGGAGCACGAAGCGATCTGACACTGCAAAGAACCCAGTCGGAGCCACCAAGCTGTTTGAAACTGATAGGATTGTTTTCACTGCTGCAGAAATTTTAGTTGGATAGTTGAGTGTGAGACTGCCCCTGGGATTATTAATTGTTTCAACTTATTTTCAGCATCAGCGCGTTTGTCTAGGATAGTGCTTTGTGTATGACTTGAGACCCTGAGGCATATTTGCGCAAGGATTTCACATGGTTGATTATGTTCACAATGTAGGTGAGTGTAGACAACTGAGCTACCTAGGCACAGCGATGATAACCGTTATACTCTAGGAACAATAAACTTAGGGCGCTACGAATGACCCTATGCGATGTCATCGATAAAACTGTAGTGATCGATATGCACAGTCACTGCTTCCCAATGACTGCTATGCCATTTCGCCATTTGATTCTTTTTAATCGCAATATTCCAAGTGCTGAAAAGTTTAAACCTCGTCGAGGAAGGAAAATTGGTGCAATAAATAAGGCTGAAATAACTAACCACATTTGTTAAAATTAGGGGCAATCCCAGATGTTCCTCGTTCCAGAAAGGTATGCTTGTATACCTAGAAAACCTGCACCTTCAGAAATACACAATCTTAGAGCATCATTATTTACACTTGAAGGCATTCACATTGCTTGTTTGGTACCAATGATGCTGATGTGACACACCAAATAATATTGGACCCAAATAGGAAATTATTAGGTAAGAACATGCAGTAAGTGTGGTTACTAAGTCTTCTGCATCCCTACGAAGCCAGCTTTTTGCACTATGTTGAAGATTCATCTGATGAAGTGTTTGTGCACTATTTATGCGAAAATTTAGTGCTATAAAGTCATCATGGGAAAACAATTTAAATTTATCGTGTATACCAAGGCTGCATACGTAGGCTAAAAATGCACGACGGAAAAGTTTGGTTTTGAGCGTTGGTAGACCTAACGCTTTCAAAATAGATGAGAAATGAAACCACGTTATCATCTTGTACGATAGCATTACTGCTGTAAACTGATAATGTGCATTTCGGGGGATAATGACGTCAAAAGAGAATGGATTCTGACTGAGGTCAGCAAGAAATCGACCGTTGACAACTCCATCACATAATTTCACGTAATCTTTATTATAACATAGCTTTGCTTATCGACCACCAATAGAAGCAAATACTTTGCACACTGTTTTAGCAAAACAGACCTTTTCGTATGTTGAAAACATGCACAGAATCCTTCTGCACCAATACTCAAACACGTGTTTTCCGATCCTAAACTACAAATGCATTAGTTAAGCTGTATGTATTCATTACTCTGCTATCTTGTTTTACGTCGGACTAACTGATTTTTTGAAGTTCAGTCACATTACAAACCATGAAATACGAAGCAAAACTCCATTTTCCAGATTTACGTTAATAACACATGTGACATGCATACATATTTTAGGAGCCATCTATAATTTAAGAGTTCTATCTCCAGAATAATGATTTGCAAATAGTTCACCGCGATGTAAGTGACCGGTTTTTAGTGCCGGCGATGGACGCCTTCATTTTTCCTTACCAACCGGAAATCTGCTCGCCCATGACTCCTTCATGGTGCGCCATCTGATTGAATGTCCCAAACAATCCGCTGTGGTTCTTCTGAATAATGTTTGCAAAACAGCCACTAACATTCGAATGTTATGAGGGCCTAGTTTATGAGGTAAAAATCTTGTTGTGTCGATGTTTGTACAGTCATCAGTGAAAGTATGGTGCCTGTCTACACAATTATTGCACTTGGAAATTGCCCAGAGTCATAAGTGCGCCCGTACGCATGGTTCTTGCATGGTTGCTTTTTAACTACCCTATGTATTCTAAATAAATTAATAATATTTGTCGTTTCAAATAGAACGTAGTGAAGAAGTAAATCACCCGGTGTACCGATGTTTTTAAAAAGAAGCTGTACTTGTTAACTTGCCTGCTAAATGACAGCAGGAGTGCGCTGCGACTACTGAACATTTTTGGCTCTAAACATTTTTGGCGAGGTAATACCAATGAAGAGAGCAAGTGCACAAGTTCCCAGTCGGATTGTTGCCAGCGTAACAGTAACTGTGCTTAAAGAATTACTTGTGTGTGAGAACAAAACTAAGTTACTAACTTTGCCGCACGTGTACAGGGATAGCAGTTGCTTAGCCCAACACATAGGTGGACTGTATTCACCGTACTTGATAAGGAAGGGGTTTCCTTGACCAAAATAAGCACGCGTGCGTTGGTCAAGTATCAAGTTATTGTTGGTTGTGCTTTCGAATGCAAAGTCATTGGCCATCAGGAATTCGTACTACTTGATCAGACCGTAAAAGAATATTCCTTCCAGGGAATCGCAGCGCTTTTAAGGGATTCTATGTAAAGGAAGATGTCTGAACTGTGATAAAACTAAACTTGGAAGCTTTCTTATGACGAATTGGTAAGGTAACACACCGCTTATTTTGCATAGCAATCGAGCAAAATAACAAACTTACTTCGTGATACTTTTACTATATTCTCCGGACACAGCCCCACCAAAGTTTCTTCTGTTTACCAAAGCTAGAAAGGTAGTGAAAAGACGCCGTTTTTAAAGTCTAAAGGAGCTTCTGGGCGATGGCACAAGATATCTGCGTGCCATACCAGTACGTGCTTTCTAGAAGTATTTCGAAAAATAAAAGCGCAATTGGGAACGGTTAATTACCAGAAAAATATGACGACTTTGAGGCGGATAGTGTTTATAAGAATGTACCATGCACAATAAATTGGTCATTGCAATAGTCTCCTTCATTTAACACACCAGTTTGCAGCATTGCATTTACGTTCCAACGTTTACCGCGTATTTGCAAGTAATTTGTAGTGCATTTAGAAAGGTTGGAAATCAAACTTTTCCGGTCGCTTGGTGCTTTGATTAGAGAATAATTATTGCTCCCAGACAACTGCTGTGTACTACATCGTGACTTCAGCAGCCTCTCCATGTGATCCACTAATGTTATTCTGCCTTTCAGTTCTATATGTACGAAACTGTGGAATGGTGGTTATTTGGTAGTGCACACTATATCGGGTCAACAACCAAATCCCACTCCTTCAGTGACCGACAAATGCCTCCTCTTACGTTGAAACTTGACATCCATGAGCAACGCGAGTTGGTTAGATGGAAAAGAACTCATTTTTCTCTTCTAGACGGTTTTTGCCCCAGGTTTGAAGAGAATACCGCTCGCCTATTTTCCTTCGCCTTGTGATCAGTAAAGGGTTATGCCTCACCCGCCTATTGCTATTTCACCTGTACAGGAGGTGAATTTGCTAAAACTGGAGCAACATGTAGCACATTCGAAAATCGGTACACGCTTTGCACCAAAACTAAAGCACCAAACCAAAGCGAGTGCAGCATGGTAAAGTATTAGTACAGTTTTCCAGATATCAATAAAGGCGGAAGCTATTCGAGAAACAAATTGTGTGAAAGCTATTATAATACGTTCCGCATCTGAATTGTAACATTGCGCATTTGTACGTTGCCAAAGTTTCATTAAAATAAATAGCCTTATTCTGCACGGCTATTTGAGCGGACATCGCTTTATGACTTAAGTATTAGTTAATCATTTTTATGAACAAATTGTCATTTGTCAACATAAATGTATTTCAGTACCTGTTGTTTAGTGGTTACTAATCACAACTACTGAAGTTCGGCAGATAGTGGAAGCGACAGCCGCATGAACACTTGAATAATGCAGGGACTAAAGTGGTTGATCACGTTCTGCTTTTCGAATTCTCTAGGAACTTCGCTATATGTGCCACATGGGTCCATACCTCCCAACACTGAAGAGCAAATCTACTTGGGATTGTGTCGAGATGATGGGCAACGACCGTGTCTTACTGGTAAGTAAATGGTGGCTCACATGTCTGTTGCAAATTACACTTGTAGTGCATCTACTTCGAACGTTTGACAGGCAACATTTTAAGCGTAAGGACTGATTTGTATCAGCCTACTTCTTCTCAATACTAGTCATGGTAGGTTCCAGAAGCCCAAGTGAGTATCTCTTCAGGATTTGTAAACTAACATCACATAATCGATGGGCGAAGACGGAGTTAAAATTAAAGGCAAAAGACGCAAAGTAAAATATGCAAGTCTGTCAATCAACCCTATTTTCACTCATAATATTGTGACTTTAAGTAAATCCCAAGCAGTTGCGAAAATATTCCATAAAACTCTGTTAAAGTGCAAGGCGAGGAAATGGATGCATGCTTCTATTTTGTATTTTGATACAATAGTGTTTCGGCAAGTTAACGTGGTAAGAGCAAAGTTATACATTTAAAATTTTGGGAAAGCAACATATCTACCTAAGGCCTGAAAACAAAACAGACTGTGAACTAATTCCGGAAGTGCAATGCACTTGTAATGTACTTAGTGGAATGTACCAATATTGCAAACATTACTGAAGGGGTTAGAGAAATTTGAATTACAAACAGTGTAGTAATAACGTTTCTCATATACCGCCTGCCGACACGACACTTTAGGTAGTATTTTAGACGAATTTTGTAGGAAACAATGTTGAACTTGGAAACTCCGATGGTGGTTGGGTTGCTACAAGCTACCTATATTGAGATTTTGGTTCACTTGTGTTGGACCTCAGTCATTCCGATCACAAGGACCGTAAATAAAATGGCAACGTTATAGTGTTGATCATCCCAACACTGGCACCCCAAGACAGCGGTTTCGTATTGGTTCCGAATCTTCAGTTGGCGGTAGCCTGAGTTGGGCTGGAACTCAGAGCTTAGAGGCTCATGGTTGACGCCATAAGCACTATGCCACTGAGATTCGAGAAAAACGCTTAGTCCAGCGTTTTTGGGGTGCTAGTGTTGGGATGAGTAACACTATAATGTTTCCCTTTTATTTCCGGTCCTTGTGATCAGAATGACCGAGGTCCACCTCAAGTGAACCGAAGTCTCAATAGAGGTTGCTTGTAGCAATCCAACCACCAGCGGATTCTCGAACTTCAACTTTGAATTCGTTTCCGTTGGACTAAGATTTGCTCGCGGATCTCAGTGGCATAGTGCTTATGACGTCAACCATGAGCCACTAGGCTCTGAGTTCCAGTCCAACGCAGGCTACCTCCAACTGATGAGTCCCAACCAGGAAAAAACCGCGGTCTTAGGGTGCAGGTTTTGGGATGAGCAACACCATAATGTTTTCATTGGTAGAAAAAAATTGCATGAAGCTAAAGTATTGATAGAAACATAACAGTTTGTTGCTGTTAAATTCAAATTACCTTCGGTTTAGCTTAACTTTCCTAGTTGTATAAAACAATCATCGGTTAACCACAGTGCCTGTTATTTCCTCAAAAAATCAATTCCAACTATCCCTACATTCGATGTAAGATAAGTATAATAGTGATGATGTTCTCTCACAAAAATTATTAAGGTTTGGAGATATCTTCTAAAAACCAGAGCGACTGGTACCTAGGTGAGATGGACCAAAAGATTAGTCTAAAATTGGAAGAAGCAACTTTTACAGCGTAGCACATAAACCATAGAATGCCTGCATGATATATTTGGAGATGATCACCGACTTCTTTGAACTACGCGGTGGGTTTGTTCGACTATATATTTGTTGCTACGGAACCATGTCTTAAATGGCTGGAAATGTTTCCGGTAAACAAAGTGTTCGTTGAGGTTTCACGCTTGTCTCACTTCTATTACGCATCGTTTCGCAGTCGGGTGTTGATGAGCGGTGACAGCTATCGTTTCGTTCTGACACCCAACACGTTTTGACACCCGTGATTCATGGGCTCCACGGCTAACTGAGATGGTTAAGGTGCACAGTCGACTGAATGCGTTTGTTGTCCACTGTACAGTTGTTGCGTGAACAACAAGATGCGCATTGCTATTATTGATTTTATCCAGCAATGAACACCTTCTGCCTACCAAGGTTAAGTAACTGGATATTTACCTATATCTAACCATAAACGCATCTCTGCTCATAGCTAATCATACTATCAGAGGGATTAGCAAGCCTTAAACTAGTATGTCCTTGAAACATACTCATGCGCATTCGGTTCATCAATGCATGCAGTGGGAGATTAGTTGCTCTTCTCTGTTCTTGATACTTAATTTGTTATTGTTCACTAATTTATGAAATGGAACCAGCGATAGAGTACCGGTAATATAAGTGTATTTTAATCCTAGGAGAATTTACCAGACAAACTAAACTGACTGCCCGAGGATGAGGCCTATGAAGTGTGGAAGTAAATCCCCTACAGAACAGGTGGTGTCCGCTATTCTAAGTGATCACACAAATCCATCTTCTATCAATCAGTCATTGTTGCTTATTGATTCGGGTACAATCTTTTAGATTCCCAGACACTCCTCAGTCCGATAGTGCAGTTTGGTCCTGCGAATGTCTCGCTGACGAAGGCAGTCAGTTTAAGTATTCCGCACTGCGCAGCAACCGATCGTGGACAAGCGGTTATTCGACTGATGACATGGGATACCAGTTTTAAAATGAAAAAACCTCACATGTATGACAATGACAAGGATGAATACAAGGAGACTACGTGCTTCTCGTATGACCTTTCACTAGACAGAGAGCGTGGAGATGAAAACAGCCACGATGATAATAAATGGAAGGTAGGCGCCAAACATTGTTTTTTACTTTTACAACTGTAGCGCTAATGTTAATCAACTCCACGGACTTAACGACCAGATAATGGTGTTCAAAATCCTCATTTGTGTCAAACCATTACGGTGAATTTATGGTTTTTGTTGCACGTGAATGCTTAACACGCATAGAGGTTTTATGTCGCTGGCACAATTTTTAGAGTTGAAGAGTTATGAAGATTAAATCAGCAGTTTTCGCAGTTTTACCCCACTTTGATTTTCAAACCAGTAAATGGCTTTGAGAAAGTCTAATACAATTAATTAAAACTGATGATGGCGACCGTGTTTAGCAGTTTTGGATTTCGCATGTTATCCATGTCTAAATTTTCAGGAACTAATTACAATGGTTATTCAGTCAAACAAGGTAACAACATTCGAATCGGATCCTGGAATCTTGATGCGCTTTAACTCTTCGGCGGCCCGACTGATCACGCAAACTCCCCATAGGTACTGTCTAATCGGCGAATCGTTGGGACCGAACTGGTTAAACAGTTGGACGTTCTTCCACATTTTTCAGAAAACGGTTATACAAATTCTCATTACCGGCAGCTTGTGAAACTGATTCGCTTAGTCTCATTTTCTGGACGCCTATCTCCAAATATGTATCTCAACAGACGCCTTAGCTCGCGTTGTACATTTGGAGCAACAGTTAAATGGACACTTGTTGGGCGTCTCAAACTCGTTTTCTTTCCAGGACAATGGAGCTAATTTGTGTTTTGTTGTCAACAATCTCTCGGAAGGATAGCGAAGCCGGCTGCAAGTTAACACACAAGTAATTTAGCACTGCTTGCTTATCGCGCTTTATACCAACGGTTTGCTGTTGGACTGTTGATAGCAGCTGTATCTTGGTTATACTGCCCGCAGTGGACCCAGATTAGGAGACTAGATAATTTAGTTATTAGTTTCGAATTAATTTTTTAAGGTAATACTAATTTTAGCATGTGTACTCAGCCAAATCCTAAATGAATAGCAGGAAAGTCGTCGTTGGAGGGAAATACATTAACACTACACTAGAAAGCTTGCACACCATAGGGGGATTTTTTGGGTACTTTTAGATGCTTCGTTGCAGTTATACTCAGGTAGCCACTACACATGCAGGAAAGAGCTAGGAGGCTGTTTTCTACTTTTGGGACACGTCAGTAGCGCGCAACCTTTGAATCCCGCCTCATTCGAACCCATCAATTTACTTTTGCTAGCCTGCATTTTATGTCTTTCGGCAAAGGAGGATGGGGGCGGAAGGCCACGACCGTTATTTTACTACTTATTAGCAGTCGGTAACAACCCACGCAGCTTAATTGCCACGTTGAGTGGTGAAGGCTTGCAAAGTAATTCGTGGTTTCGTGTGCACGCTTTTGCTCTGCACCTTAATTTTATGTATGAAAGTAGAGGATAAGCCGCGCCATATCGCAGTTAGATATCAGTCATGGCAGTTCGCTGCTGTCACCCACGGCTCAGTGGCATTAGTTATTGTCTCGAAATCGTGGGTTCGAAATTTGGTAGGATTCGAAAGATGAATTATCCTGAGGATTCCCAATAGAAAGAGAAGGCCATTCAGCGCTTTCCTAGATATAGGGTGACTCTCTGCTTGAGACTAATTGCAACGAATATTCACAAAAGCTCAAAAGACTCAGTGCTGTGAGTTTACATTGATTGATGTTTACAGGATGGCATATCTGATCTCGTTCAATCCGAAGGGTTGGGTATTTTGTGTTGTTTTACTGCATGCATCTTACCAATCTCATGCTTCTTAGTTATCATTGTTTAACTATTCTAACTTTGTTTTAAGAAACAGTGTGATTTGTTAGTAGCAATTTTTAAGTACCATGGTGATGTTGTTCATATGCCTCAGCTGTTCACTCGTTTTGGTTTATACAGAAAAACATTTGAAAATATCACACAGTAGATTTGTTTTTCGTTCTGTGCAGGAGATTCCATTTCGGCATAACTGGAGAGGGACACAAGTGTTCACTCTGCATTGTGCCTTCACGTTTGAACATGTGGACGTGATGCAAACGTGTATATCCTGTAAAAGTATGGTCTTTCAAGTAAGCAAATGGAACCAGTGTGAAACACTACATATCTTATAAGATGCAACGAAGGTAAGTATACACACAATTGAGTATATTAAAATAAATACGCCCAAACAGATTATAAATTCTATGTCTTACATAGCCAATGTTAGTGGACATCGTGTTTTCCGGAGCCAAACCTGTCCTCTGCAACGTCAGTAATTTGCAAAGCTGGAGAGGATATGACGCGCTATATCGCAAAGGTGATTAGCATTAACTCAATATACTTTTCGATAGTTTTGACAATAGCATGTTCTAAATGTTTGATTGAATTTGATCAGATGAATTTTCATAAAACTGCAATTTCTACCTCTGCTAAACCAACTACTTGATGCGAAGAGAAACTGAGTCTACATCTGGTGTTTCAAAAAGCTTAGAGAGCCGAGCCTTCAATTGCACTTTGCATAACTAAATTGCACAAAAGCCGTCACTGTCATTTGCAAACCTGCCATGTCTGCCGCATCCAGGTTAGTTTACTTTCGCAGGTAGTAAAGCGTACGGCAGACAAACGCAGTAGGTTAGCTGCATTCTATAGAAAAGTTCTAGGAGTAAAGCGGTCAGGGACATGATTTTGATAACCATCCAGATTCACTGGAACAGACCAACTTGCGAGTTTTATCTAAACCATTTACATGGAGTTTAATATTTACAAAAAGCTAATTAAACTGATTATCATGCAAGAGAATGCGACAAACCTTGACATCTTTCATCGTTTACACATGGATATGGATTGGGTTTGTGTAAAGCTGCATGGATATCTACCATCGGTGCTTTGAATATAGTTGGTAGAATTAATGGTTTCGTTGCCAAGTTACTTCGAGTAATAACGCATCACTCCCAGATTCATAATCTACAGTTTCGCAGCGTTATCCATCAGCAAAAATGTGAACCTTATTTTTAATGTGGGATCATATGTTTGACCAAACGTCAATGAACTACATCAAATATACCAACCAATATTCCATTCTAAAATATCTACCGGTTTTCAGCTCACAACGTGTAATCTGATTTTACTTTTATAACAAGACAGCACCATATATATAGACATTTAAATTATTTTTGTACTAGTCGTGTGCACTCCTCATGACAAAAATGTATTTATGCGGTCTTCGGGGTTCCTGAATCTTACACCATTTTTCTAGAATATAAATTTTTGTATATTGACACCTATGTTTAAAGCTAGCTCTTAAGTTAAATAAAACTTCAATCTAATTGAGACTAAACTTTCTTCTAATTTTTGAATTATTTCAACCCTATGTAAACATGATATTTCTTCCTATTTTCAGCATGGTTCCACAGAGGGTATCAAGGACCACACCAACAGTAGACCTACTAAATTTGTGGAACGCTATTAATCCGACAGAAGATGGAATAAACCATATGCGCCATGTGTTTAATAAACTTCATCGGACGGATTGCGTCGCCTTACTGAACTCGGATTCACTAACTGCATGATAGTAACCACGCAGAGGAAACTGAACTAATAGTACTCAAAAAGCACAATCTCAAATGTGATAATGTGATCGTCAGTTGTTTCTGCGCCAACACATCATTATGCGGACAGTTGGTTCAAAACATGATTTGTTTTAAGTTTTTATCCAGTCTTACTATGCACAATTTCTGTCTGTTTTACAGAATGTCTCCGTGTGTTCTAGAATCCGGGGGAAGTATGACTCTGCGACTTGCAGATGGCTTACTAAAGCAGCTGACAATTTTTCTAGTTTTGAATTCAAACGTTCGGCTCAGCGTTTTTTATTTTGAAGTACAAATATCTTGATCTACACTTTCCTAAGTCAAGCGCCTTTGTGCTTACACACACCTTCCTGTGATTGGGCCTTTTTTCCAACTAATTGGATTCACTGGATGTGGAGAGCATTTTTATAAAACAAGGTAAATTATGCCTAACTTCTTCCTATTTGTCACAGAGAGTTACGTATCCCATTGTAATAGTTAAATCGAATACACTTTGTGACTTCTTTTTGATTGACGCCATCCTGTCTGAGGTTTTGCTACTAAAGTAATATTTCGCCCTTTACCATTCGCATGACTAGTAAGTTAAATATATTAGCTAATAGTAGAAACGAATGCCAGCAGTATGGTCAATCCTTATGCTGCTTTCGAATGCTTGAAACCTGTTAACAAACCTCTGGATATTCGATCTACTCAATTCTCGATTTTAAAATCTTTATAACATTTTGGTGCCTTTTAAACTTAGGATGTTTCATCAAATTAGTCTTTTTATACGTACGGTTGCAATGTTTCGCAACAACAACATTTATTCATTATCCAGTTTTTGTGCGGGGCAATAGTGTTTTCCAAATCCAGGCTAAAGTATATTTATTAATATATGCTTTGGGACACCATATAAGGTAAAGCATATTGCCTACCTCTAGACAAAATTTTGCAAGATGCAATTAGTTCGTGCTTTATGAAAAATCCAGCCGGTACCTGAGGCTAAGTTGGATGCCGCCAATATAGATTTAAATGCATCTACTAATTTCAAAGGAACTTCATTGCTTACGTTACAAGATAGTATACTAGGTTCACAAAGTATTATACGTCAATCCGGATAGTCAAGCGGGATCGAAATGGGCTAAATGCTTCTCAAATTTTGCGGCATTTGTGTGGTGCATTGATTAGGTTTTCAGAATAAATGGTAAGGAAGATTAACGAGGATTAGTAGATATACTTTGATACGTAGTTATGATTGCACAAATCGCTTAAAGAACTAGTATGTTACCAATTTGCCACAATGTCACTTTTGGTTTAACGGTTCTAGGTACGAACCAGCTTTGCTTCTTTTGATAATCTTTTCACCATTATCAAGTTTGGTTTTAGGGTATAGCATACACTTAACTTGCAGGTATTTGACACTATAGACCAAGAGGGATATAACGTAATTCACCCATGGTTGCGGAGCTGATTCCACAAAGCTATTGAGGTTACTCCTAACCTCTTTGTGTTGGAGACAAACTTTGCAAAATTTTGTTGGAAAGCCGAGACATAAGCATCCAAGCTGCATGCCAAGGATGATGCCTTGCTTCGCATGACACAACTGGTGCGCACCGTGATCTTTAGTCAACACCGTACGTACGAAACTGTCGGGGGTAATCATAAGTAAATTTCATTGAACATTGGCTTGTTTTGTCTTTTTGACACACAGAAGTTAACATCACCTTAAATGACCTCAGATGACCGTTACACAAACGTTGACATTGGCTGCCAACATAGCTTGTGTTTAGTTAACTGCACGCAGAGACAACACATCAGACGGTTGCTGACCTTCACGACAAGACCACTTTGTATGAAGCTTCGATTAAACATGAAACGATTATACCTCAAAACAAGAAACCCATTTATTTGTTCTCAGACTCAAGCAAACTAGAAATGCTTTCAAACGAACGCACAGTGGTGACCTGTTTTACACTACTAAAACATAATCATTAAACAAAAATGCACCAGACGTCAAAATACTCCCAGAATTCGGAATTAAATAGACTGAACATGTAACTTTTCCAAGCTCCTCGAAAGGATCAACAATGTCTACACTATTATTATTGCTATAATCGTAACTCAAATTTTAAAAGAATGACAATACTTGCAATTTGAAAGCAAGTATTTTCTTTACTGGTCACAGTAAACCTCATATGCTTTCGCACCAAAAGTTAGTTTGTTAATGTACTTCCACAAACTGGTGCCAATTTCTTTGCTCTGCCAGGGTAGCTGTTGGCACAGTAATACCGGCATGTTTAGCATTTTCTCATCATCATGAAATGTTTGAGTCCGATGAGAATTACCGAAAAGAATTCTTTACTCAGATTCTGCCTCCCTTGATTAATTCTTTGCCTTTTATATGGAAATTTTTAAACAGTTGCCTGAAAACTTACCAAGCATTACATGAAGGCATCCGTCAAATTCAAATAGGGTATGCTTTTGGCAGTTCGTCAAATGTTATCAACTATAGCTTACGACCAACAGACATTTAATTGGGAGGGCAATTTTATGCGCTACCAAAGTTTTGGGATGCGAAATCTGTTGATGTGTTTCAGTCTATTTAGCGCTCTTTACTTAAAACGCCTACTACAAAATATTAGCAGGATACAGGTAGTTTATTCCTAATTAACCAGAAGACATGTGCCGTTTAGTGTGTAAACCTGAAGAATTGTCAGTCAGACGTTTATGGGTCGATGAATTGACATATGTTTCCATTCTATCAGGGGACCCTAATGAGTATAGCACCGATGCAGAAAAGGCGCGCCCCATAAGAAAAAACATTGAGTAGCGGTCTAAGCAGACTTTTCTGTCCGGTTGAGTGTGTATATGTCTACTCGGTCTGTTACTGAGCAATGAAGGATTTTACACTCGGAGCAAACAAATGTGCAGAAAAACCAAATGCAAAATTTCATGCTTCAAGTAAATTCACGCATATCAAGGCGATTTGAAATTTGTGGTATCTACCTCAATAACGGTAGCACTGCCAACTCAGACATATCCTACACAACTGATTGTAGGTTGAGGCATGCAAAGCCGACTGGTTGGGAAGTAATCAGCAAAACATTATCGACAGCGTTGCAACAATATTCAACTCGAATCACTTTGAATGCGACATTTGTAACATAACTATTTGTTGCTATACAATCTGCTACGCAAAACGGCTTGTTCCGATCTGCCTACATTGAAGTTGCAAAATAGTTGCACTTGATAGTTCCGCAAATAAAGTTATACACTTGTGTATAGCATGGGCTCCGGTTTATTTCTGGCCAGATGTATCTATCTGTGGAATAAACTGCCAATTATATTCAGGTCAAGTGACAAGGTAGCAATGTTTTGTAACAAACTTGCAACTTACCTGAAACTGCATAAGGTAAGATTATATTATCTTTTGAGCAACAATGAACGATGGACAATGAATGTATACGGGTTAAGAAGCTTTTCGTT